AAAGTAATTTTTAAAGAGCCCGATACAGGCTTATAATTATGACCATCCGGTATCATTTAGTTTAGTTTTTCTTGTTTTTCTTTTCTCCTTTTTTATTTCTTTTATTTGTTTTTTTTACGTATTTCTCTATACCTCTGTGTTTCTTTTATAAAATTTTTCTTTTTCTTTTACTTCCCTATGAGAAGATATCATCAAATTGGCAATATTCTATTATAAGATAGTGGTTAGACGAGCCTTCGGTTAAGATATTATTTTAATTAATTGTACTTTGCTAGTGCAGTTAAATCGTCTATAGATGCATATAGGTAATCAGTTAGATTATATAAAGCAACTACAAGATATCAGATCTGTATATTTAATGTTATGATATTTCTATGGATTTGGTCTTGATTAAATAAAGATATTGGCCGATCTGTCTAAGTGAAAAAAAAAAAAATAATAATAATAAAAAAATTATTGAATTCGGTTTAATAGTTGTAGAAATAAATTTGATTAAAATTTAAAAAAAAAAAATTGCTACAGATACCGCAACATATAACTTTATCTTCTTATTGGCACCGCAATAATTGACATAAATACCTCAAAATTTTGACCAATAATATTTAAGGGATATTCAGTAAATATATTATGTATTCAGATATTTTATAATATAAATAAATTTTTGAAATTCTATTTTTGAACAGATTAGAACTTTATTATTACATAAAAGACAAAATTTTTCTTTGTACCTTTTTTTAAATAAATAAACAAAAATGTTTAGTTTTGAGAGTCAAAATAGCTATAATTTTGAGAAAATAATTAAATTTGAGGAGAATGATATGACTAAATTTAATAGTAAAAAAGAAATAAAATTTAATAATACGAATGAGATTGAGTTTAACAGTGAAAGTGAGATCGAGATCAAGATAAAAGAGAAAGATAAATTTAGATTTTTTTTTTCCCGTTTAAAGGCCAGGTACTATGGCCGATTTTTTATTATGAGTCAACGTAATATTTGTTACATGAGCAAGGATACAACTAGCCACACGTATACTTTTGGTGCCTAATTTAAGTAGTCCGCCCAAAGGTTCTACACTAGCTGCCATACCTACAACCCAACTACGGAAGTTGCCTATTTAAACCCTCTGACTTACGATCTTCCTATTACTAACCCAATTCACTACATATTGCAGATATACCAGGCCCGACCCTTTTATTTCGACGGCCTAAGGGCTACTTTACCCTCGTACCAACTGCTTACCGAACAACTTTCCATGTCCCAAGCATGTAGTTATTGCTGGATTTAGTAACCAAAGCTACTTGCCCTTATTAGGTTCATTCTGATCGTAGTACGAGCCTTCTTTTTTGGCCTATACTTATATGGACCGATTTTCACTACCTTCTAACTTGAGACTTGCCAAACGGGTTCTTGTGGGTTTTTTCCGGTTTCCTGGATTTGCAATATAGTACCAGTACATCATTGCGCCCGCAAGCTCCCATTCAAGATGGTGAAACCAGGATTACAGGTTTTAAGCCCAACCGATCAGAAGCCACAATTACCGAACACAGATTTAACTCCAAAACGTCACCAGTGGGATTCGATCTATCAATCTGCCGCTTGAGGGGTGATACCTTGACCACTTCTCTAGGGCGCCACACCCTTGATAAATTTAGATTTAATGAAAGAGAGATAAATATTTGTATGTCAAATATGATTAATTAAATAAAACAACATGTTGTGATAACAATTTTTTTGATAATCATAAATCGAATTAGAATTATTGTATTAATTTTTTTTTTCTAACTAGCTGATAAGATGCTTGGACAAGATTATATTACTAAAAAAGATATTCTTAATATGGTACAGGGAATTGCTTAGCATTTGAGATTTGCTGTAATAGTCAAAAACAGTAGCAACTATTATTTCTATCTTAAATGCAAATGTGGTGATCAATTTCATAATACTTTAGACTTGACAGTTGATATGTGTCAAAGAAAGAAAATAAGTAAATGTTGTAGTTGCTCTTTTTTTTTAAATGCGGTACTAAAAAATTTTAAATAGCAAGTTGTTGAAATAGCAAATAAACACAATCATTCTATAGTTCAAGATAAGAAGATTTTTTATGAATATTACTAATTAACACAAGAAGCAAGAAGCATAGCTATGCAAATGTTAAAAGCAAAAGCAAGCCCAAGTATAATTTATGAAGCTATGAGGAATGAAGCTAGAAAACCAATCACTACTAGAAAGAACATATCTAATTTAGGCTTAAAAATTAGTTCTATAGAGAAAACAGCTTTAATAGAAACACTTATAGTCAGTATAAAAGAAAAAGAATACCTAGTATATCATGAAAATTATAAAGAAAATATTTTTATTATTTTATGTTATTATAATAACTATCTATTTTATAATATAATTTATTGATTCTTTTTAATTTAATATAGATAGTCATCTAAAACATTTATTTTTTTATCATGCTAATTTGGTAAAAAGTATCAAATATTTTTCAGAAGTGGTTCTAATTGATGCTACTTATAAGACAAATATTTACAAATTGCTATTTGTAAACTTTATTGGTATCAGTAATCTTGGTGTAAACAAACTGCAAATGTTTGGTATTGCTAGTGCTTGGATCTCTGATGAAACAGAGAATTCATATATATGGGTTATGAAACAGTTCGGTTCTTTTATATTTTCTGCCATTTTGCTTTTGGTGTTTGTTATAGATAATAATATCACACTTACTGGTTCAATTAGAAAGTATTTTTAAAAGCCAAGTATCTTTTATGTACTTGGCATTTTTTAAATAATTTTAAGAAAAATTTAAGAAAATACTTTGTTGACGATTTATTGGTTAAAATTATTAAAACTGTTAATCGTATTATTAATTTAAGAGCCTTTGATGCACTAAATTCCGCAATTGCTAATTATAAAAAATTGGCCTTATCAAGCTTAAATAAAGACGAAGTAATAAAATATTTTGAGAGATAAATAATAAATTTATTATTTTATTTTATTTTTTTTAATTTCATATACTATATTTTTAAAATAACTTTCTAAAGAATAATAAAAATTAAAGAGAAATGGGTTGGTGCCTATACAAGCCAAGTTAGGCATTTCAGTGCATCAACAATACAATGTGTCGAAGGAGTATATTTGGCTATGAAACATACTGTTGAGGCTTTAGGAAGTTTGACAAAAGCTTTTACTTCTTTAGATAGATAGTTGCATTTGCACTATGAAAAGAATTTTTTATAATATGAGAATGAATATATAAGTATTGATTTTTTGTTAATGCAAAATAATAAGAATCAGTTAGAGCTACTTTTGGGAAAAGTATCACAATTTGTATTTAACAAGATTAAGATTAGACTTCTTGAGGCAACTACATATGAAACTTGCTTGTATAAATTACGTATTAATTATGATATATCTTGTTGTCATATACTTTCAGTGAAAGATCCTATTATGTTGTTAAGTATTTCAAAAAGATGGTTATTATTTCTAGATCAGGATTAGCCAGATTCTAGTCCTATAGTTCAAAATATATCTTTAATTAATTCTGATACTTTTTTTTCTCTTAAGTCTAAACTTTATATGATTGAAACATGATATATGGTCTTTTCAAATAAACAACAAAAATTCTCTCTTTTAAATCAATTTAATAATATATTGGAGGTTTCAGAAATTAAACTTTCTAATATAAAAGTATATTTATATAGAACAAAGTTTGGAATTTTTATTAAGCTATCGCATTTCTGCTAATGATATAGACAACATATATAATTTACTGAGTAATAGTAATTGCAGGTTTCGTGTACTTGCTGTTGCTATTAGAGAAAATGAAAAAAATTAGAATCTTATTAAATTAGCAATAAATAATCAATTAAATAAATAAATAGAAGTTTACAAAGATTGGTTAGACTATGATACTGATTTGCTTAAGCAGATTTTGGAATTCCGAGCATTACCTTACTATTCTTTATTTTAGTTTTTATTATCTGATTATACTCAATTAGCTACCAAT